CTTGTTGGCTTAAGATGGGCATGTCTAAAATGTAAGGCCTTAGTTCACAAGAGGGAATTGAGAATAACCACTGTTACCAAGCGAACCCTGAGCCTCAGAGGACAACCACGGCTGAACTGATCATTTTATTTCAGATGGAAGGTTCTAAGCAGAGCCTCTAGCTATGCTATCACAAACTTCTGACCTAGAGAAACTAGGCATTAATACATAGATGGGCTTTTTTTTTTTTAAGCTGCTGCATCTCTGATCATGTTGCAATAGCAAGAGACGACTAAACGCAATGCTTCTGTGTTTCACCTTGTGTATTCATAAAATAAGAGCACAATACTTTGTCCCTGTAAGGGCTGTTGTGAGGACAAAATGAGGGAAGGGGCCAAAGAGTGCTCTGCAAAATGTCATGTTGTACAAAGGTTATAAGCTTCAACGGGAAAAAGAAACAATCTGTTTCGAAACACTGAACTGGAATAATTAAGAGCTTCGAGCTAATTATATTTCCCAGAAGAGCTGAGGACTTGCAGGGCTGCTGCTCCTCCCCTATAGAAGTTGTGCAACCTAGGAAGGCTCACCCCACTGTGTTTCCTACCTATATGACCTTGGACATGTTTTGTCATCTCCTCAACAAAACGAGGGTAATGATCCCTGCTGTGATCGGATGATAGGAGCTGTGTGAGGTTCAAATGCTGTGGTGTGAACACAAAGCTCCCAGATGGAAAGTCTATCTGCTTGTCGTTCCCAAAGACAGTAAGATTGAAAGACCTTTGTTTTTGGTACTATGAGCAACTATTTTCTGCCCTTGGCTCTGGTGTGTGGTTTTGCATAAGCAAATCATTTTCCCTCTATGTGTTTGCATCTCCATTTGTGAAAGGTTAATTCAAAATCAGTGGCTTTGAAATAATGGACATCAGACACTCCAGAAGAAATGAATGACACATGCTGGAGTATAGTTTTCTGTTTTTCATAAGCTCCTCCTTCCTCCACTAACCAATCCTCCCTCAAAGCCAGAGGAAGACAAGTTTATAAAATTATGCAAGGTAAGCCTTACAGACAGAGTATGAATTGATTGCTCAACTATGTGGTATGACTCGGCATCTCTAAGAAGTCTGGATAGCTTATAATACTTTAACTGGCTGATTTCAGATTGTTTAACTACTTGTGCCCCTTATAGTTCTTTGCAGTTTCTAATAATGTTATAGTGTCATTTCAATGTCTGTGAATTTCCTTCCAGAATATCCCTTATAAGGAACTGAAGATACTAAACTATGGGCCAGACAGAATGATTCTGGCTTGGAATCCCAACCACTTGGGAGGCACAGATAGGAAGATCGCGGTCCAAGGCCAGTCCAGGCGAAAGTGGAAGCAAAAATCTATCCTCCCCGCCCCCCAAAATAAAACCTAAAAATTCAAAAGGGCTGCATGTCTCCAGTGGTTGAGCTCTTGCAAGTACAAAGCCCTAAGTACAATCTCCAGTACTGCAAAAAGAAAAAAAAAAAGTTATATTTTAAAAAGACACCAAACTACAGCCAAAGGCCAGTGGAGTTGTCCATTTTCATTTAATTACAACAAAGGCTGTAGTAAAACCCACACCTGAGAACGAGGCTGAAGGTCCTGGTTTAAAGATAAATAAATTGAGGCATAGAGGTGGAGTGACTTGCTCAGGCTTAAAGAGCTATTACCAAATTGAATGTAGACACCTAGGGCTCTTTCAAGGAGTTCTTTCCAACTGCTAGCCCTCCCCCTTGCTTTTCTACATCTCCATTGTTCAGCTTGACAGTCAGGTCATTCTTCATCTTTTTTTTTCTATACTGGTTTCCTGTTCTTTGAGAAATTTCCTTCACTGATCACTAAAGCACAGCATCACATGTAAAGCAATGCAAGAAGCAGGCAGCTACTGGTTCAGTATTTATAGCCACACCCAGCAGCTTCAATCAGGGTTTCTCAAATGTTAATGCTCATAGGAGTATCTAGGAGATCTTGTTAAAATATAGATTCTGATTCTAGTTGTTTGGGTACATCCTAAAAATGTGCTTTTTTTTGTTGTTATTGTTGTTGTAGGGCTCAAACTCGAGGCCTGGACACTTTTTCATCCAAGGCTAACACATTGCCACTTTGAGTCACAGTGCCACTTCCAGTTTTCTGTTGGTTAATTGGAGCTGAGTTTCATAGACTTTCCTGCCCAGGCTGGCTTCAAACCACGATCCTCAGACCTCAGCCTCCTGAGTAACTAGGATTACATGCATGAACCACCAGTGCCTAACAAGAATGTGCATGTGTGTGTGTTTGTAGGTCTTTGGGCTGTCCCTAAGATCTTCAGCTCAAGGCTAGTACTCTACCACTTGAGCCACAGTGATACTTCTGGTTTTCTGGTGGCTTATTGGAGATAAGCGTCTCATGGACTTTCTTGACCAGGCTGGCTTTGAACCATGATCCTCAGATCTCAGCCTCCTGAATAGCTAGGATTTCAAGCGTGAGCCACTGGTGCCCAGCCTAAGAATGTACATTTCTAAGAAGCCATTTAGTGCTGATGTTGAGGCTTGGCTCATGTAGCATCATATTTTCAAATAGCAAAACGAGTGAATGCTTTCACCCATCTTCTCTATTTACTTTGGAAATCATTTTCTGTACTACAGTGTGTTATTAGAAATAGGAAGCTGCCTGTACTTTCCAGCACTGAATTTGCTTAAGATCCTAATGTAGATTGAAAGCATATCTTTTCTCATCTCCTTTGGCCTCCATTTCCTTATCTGTATGAAGGGATGATTGGCTATCCCATAATGATGTTTGGAGACCTAACGAAGCACCACATATGTGTTGTAAAGTGGACAGTAGATGAATACTCCTAGGTCCAAAAGAATTCTGTGCCTTGATTTTCTTAGGTTGGTAGAAGACAAAAGGAGCTGCAAGTAGTTACTGACTGTATCCTAAGTGATTATTTTCATGATGAAATTACAAATGGAGACCATTTGTACTAGATAGTCTGCATGCTTTATTGAAAGTCACATGAATTGGCCCCAGGATCTCAATCATTTTTTTTTTCTGATTGCACACATAATATTTCACATAGGCAATCTTGGAAGCCTTCCATTAACATCCTTGGCATTAAGTGATTAGTTTCCATATGAAAACAAAGGTTACTTTTTTCTTCATTGAAAATATGTCTTCTAGGTTATTTTGCTTTCGTCTGTATTTTTTAATTGTTTCTGAAACTTTCTCTGAGCTTCTAATGTGTCAAGGCCAGTTGTCTCTCCATGCCTCATCTACACATTCTATCAAAAGCAATTTTTTTTTCTAGTCACAGAACTACTTCCTCTATTACTTTTATCTATTGTTATTACAGAATCAAAGAACTTCTGGAACAGGAAGGATACTTCTTGATGGCAACCAAAAACTGTAGAAATATTCTATCTTCCTATTAAAATTATATGCTCAATTTTGCTTTCACTGTGGACAATCTCCCCCCCCACACACTCATTTTTATAAACTTCAAAAAATAAAAATCCAATGATACATTTTTTTCTAAATGGTGTCTTGACTTTGGTTGGTGTCAGAAGGATGTGACCCCCCCAACCATCAAGTACCATACAGACACAAAGACCTTCTATAAGTCTCAAATCATGTGTATGGCTGTCACCAGTTTCTTGGAGTATTACAAACCTGGTAACATTTTGACAAAGATATAAACAAGGACTTCATCACTACCAACTAAAACATAAATCCTTTACAAAGTAAAATTGCACAGCCAGGCACTGGTGGCTCATGCCTGTAATCCTAGCTACTCAAGAGGCTGAGATCTGAGGATTGTGGTTCAAAGCCAGCCCGGGCAGGAAAGTCTATGAGACTCTAATCTCCAATAAACCATCAGAAAAACCAGAAGTGGCACTGTGGCTCAAGTGGTAGAGTGCTAGTCTTGAGTGCCCAGGTCCAGAGTTCAAGCCCCACAACGGGCAAAAAAAAAAAAGTAAAATTGCACAATTCTTTAAAAAAAATCAAATGGGTAAATTGAAAGTAACAGAAACCCTGACTTGGGAATATCTTCCAACCACTGTAAAGTGCACTTGCATCTCTTCTCTCCTTCAAATGCTTATCTTTAAATATTTTGTTAGGTAGGCAAGAGTCAAGGGATATGTCAACTCCAGTAATTTGGCTTCTGTTCAAATACCTACCAGTGGGAAAAAACATTTAGAACTTTGTGAGTGTTAAACTAAGTGATTGTTCCTTTGTCATTACTGCTAGTTTCAAGACTTATAGTTCTTCAATGCCAGATGGACAATGGATCTTGAGAACTTCATAAATCTGCCACTTTCAGATCATCACCCTCCTTCCACTGTGTCTTCTGAATGTTTATCCATTCATCAAAGTGAGACCAAGTCAATCTCATTCTATAACAGCATGTGTCATCACAGAAGTTTTTGTGCTTTAAACCAGAATGCCAAAGGGAGGCTAGGTGCTTCTTTTAAGGAGGAGCTCAGAGCAAGGGCAGAGCTAGCCAGCCACTGCTCCCTGGCCTCTGGCAAGACTGGTAGTCCCAACTCTCCAGGCAATGCTACTGAACTATGTCCCACTCCTCCCTGTGTCTCACTACTCCCTTCCCATAAAACAAGAGTCAAACCACATCTATTCTGTCTTCAACGGCCACCTGACTGCTTTATTCAGTCCTATAACAGAGTAAGAGACAGACCAGGGCTCAACAGGAGACCAGCAAGCCTGGCAGTGAGCAGTAGATGGAATAAGGCTCACTTGGCTCTCTTGCTCCTCATTTTTTGTCAGTTATGGAGCGTGAACTCTGGGCTTGAGTGTTGTCCCTGCACTCTTCAACTCAAGGTTAGCACTCCACCATTTGAGCCACAGCACCACTTCTGGTTTTCTGGTGGTTATTTGGAGATCAGAGTCTCACAGACTTTCCTGCCAGGGTTGGCTCTGGACCACGATCCTCAGATCTCAGCCTCCTGAGTAGCTAGGATTACAGGCATGAGCTACCAGTGCCTGACAATTCCTGATTTTTTTTTTAGCAACGTGGCCTTGAAGGCTAAGTAGAGTGGATAGAGTACAAAGGGACTACCCAGACATGTTTTGATTTAGAACAGCACCAAATTTTTTGATTGCTTTCATAAAGACTCTCGATGCATTTGGCCTACATGTTCCTAATTCACTAATTAACAATGTTTAGTGTCTTGAAGTATATTGTCTTTCACTAAGGCTTCTCCAAAGGCATGTGCTCTGACATGTTTTATTCTCTAATTCCCTCTCTGCTATAATCAATATACTAGCAAGGCCTTGCTAGAAGAGTGCTCATAGGAAAGTCCTTTTATACAGGCTGTGTCCCCGGCATCTGTACAAGGACATAAGCAGTGACATCTTCCCAGCAGCTTCCTTTCAACAGACAGGTTCCAGAAATGTCTGTTCCTCCAATGTCAAATCCACAACAGCTGATTTTATGTTAGTTCTCTTTAAGCGATCAAACAGTAAAGCAAGGAGATGAAAAGCTTCTATCTTGAAATTTTCACTTGATAGAAAATGCACGGGGCTCAAGAAGAACAATAAAAGCCAAACCCCAAAAGTGATCACCATTAATGTCACCACCAATGAAAGACTCCTTGCTACATAAATGTGATATCATGGAAAAGACTTTCAGTAAGCGTCTAGGGACCTGGGTTCTTGTCCTGTGTGGTCACTAATTGTTCTGCCTATAAATTGGGCTGTTCCAGTGTTTTTGAAAGAGTCTTCTAATCAAAGAGTTCATAGGCTGGAAATAATCTTTAATCTTAAGGGCTGTGGTTCTTAACAGTTAATGGATCACAGGCTCATTTAAAATTCAATAGAAAGGTATAGATCATCTGTCCAGAAAAGGCCTATTGTCAGCTGATGTTGCATATGATCTTAGGGGCATTGTGGAGTTCCTAAATCCCAGACATGGAATTCAGATCTGCTTGTTTTCAGGAAATAGAGTGAATAATTAGCCAGGCATCAGTGACCTCATGCCTGTAATCCTACTCAGGAGGCTGAGATCTGAGGATCAGGGTTCAAAGTTAGACCAAGCAGGAAAGTCTTTGAGTCTCTTATTTCAAATTACCACCAAAAAGCCAGAAATGGAGCTGTGACTCAAGTGGTAGAACACCAACCTAGAGCCAAAAAGCTAAGGGATAATGCCCAGGCCCCAGTACTAGTAGCCAAAAAAAAAAAAAAAAAAAAAAGAACATAGCATCTGGAGGCAAAGTTGAAGCAACTGCTGGGCTTAATCTGTCTTATTTTTTTTTTTAATCTTCACAAGAGTGAAAATCCTATAGGATAAACACAGCCTCCCCACTCCACCAATTTTGTTTTGTTTTGTCTTGATTGCTTAGAAAGGAAAATTGTCAAGTAAAAACAGGAGGAAAAATAATAAGGAACCTAGGCTTTGTTTGACATGCAAAACACGCTTGGCAGATTTGCCCTAGCAGGCTTATTAAGCAAGTGCAGGAAGGCACATGGGGCTGCAGGAAGGGAGGGTACTGTGAGGGGACCACCCACACTGGCCCCATAGGAGCAGGTAACACACAGCAGCACCAGGGAGCTAACCTAGTACTAGTGTCCACATCCTCAGTAAGAGACATGTTAAGATTCTCCAGCAACATCTCCTCCAACCAAGGTAAGCAATGCCCCCACCACTCCAATGGCCTTTAGATCAGGGTAATACTCTGAAGATCCATCTTCAGCCTCAGATCTTTCAGAGTTTGATGGTTTTTGAAGAAGCAGGAATTGGGGAAAAGAGGTGAAATCCAGGCTCCTCTCTTTAACTCAGGTCAAGCGGGTAGCTTGGTTTCCGCAGAATCTGGGGCTTCAGGGAGTCCATTCACAGTATTGCAAGAACTCAAGACACACCTTATGAGGAGATGGAGACAAAATATCAAGGGGAAATAAACATGTGTCTAGGACATGTGCCCCTTATTTTACTTCTTCCAGAGCCTGGGCCAGGAAAGAGCTGCTGTTCTGCACAAAAGACTCAGCACACAAGGATTAGAAGTAGACCCTTTTAGAATCTTGGAAAGGATCCCTCCAAGGCTTTTTAACACCTGAAAGGGAAAAGAAAAGGCAGTGAATTAGTTTAGGACTGGTTAAGCACTTAACAGTCACTCAGCAGCGGAGTCTCTCTTTGTAGGCTGCTAAACCTACAATTGGTAGCTAATCTTCTGAGAAAAGGCCCTCTTATTTCAAATCCTATGAAACAGAGCCTAAGGTGGTGCTATAATCAGAGCTAGAGACTTTGTACCTCCCACCAGCCTCAACTCTAATACCCAAAAAAGACAATGGGGAAAGAAGTTTGATACCAGAACTTCAGAGTTTATACCGCCCTGCTCCTCCCTCCCCTGCAACAAGGTCAATGCTTATTTATGGCCCTACAATATCTCCCAAATTCCTCTTATTAGGACTTCACCTGTATGGGGCTGATAAGGAGAAAAAAGCTATCTACCCAAGGACCTCTGAGTTGGCAGTGACAGAAAGAAAAGGAAAGCTTAGGAGCACATGGCAAGCCAAGTTCCAGATATGTTAGATTTCATTTATGTGCATTGTGGTTCATGTCATGCCAGAAATCTGATAGTCAAGCCATCTAAACTCTAAGGCACAGAAAGGCATTTTTCTGATCTGAGTTTCCTGTAACCTTAACAAGATACTCATTCCCTCTAAATGTCAGAACCTTTATATGTTGAATTAAAACACACATGTCTCATACCTATGATTCTAGTTGCTCAGGAAGCTCAGATCTGAGGGTTCAAAGCCAGTCCTGGCAGAAAAGCCAATGAGACTCTTATCTCCAGTTAGCTAGCAAAAATCTGGAAGTGGAGGTATGGCTCAAGTAGTAGAGAAACAGATTGAGCAAAAAAAAAAGCAAAAAAGCAAGCAAGCAAGAAAGGAAGAAGAAAGAAAGAAAGAAAGGAAGGAAGGAGGAAAGAAAGAAAGAAAGAAAGGAAGGAAGGAAGGAAGGAAGGAAGGAAGAAAGAAAGGAAGAAAGAAAGAAAGAAAGAAAGAAAGAAAGAAAGAAAGAAAGAAAGAAAGAAAGAAAGAAAGAAAGAAAGAAAGAAGAGGAAGGAAGGAAGGAAGAAAGGAAGGAAGGAAGGAAGAAAGGAAGGAAGAAAGACAACGAAGCAAGAGTGTGATGCCTTAAGTTCTAGTACCAAAAACCCACAAACAAACAAAAAACCCACATTCTCCTCCACCTGGTATGTGACGTGGCAAAAATAGGATCATGAATATGAAAGTCCTAGTACTAAAAAAATATAAGGGATTAAGGATGAGCATTTAGGTATGAATGACCAAAAGAGTGTCTTAGGCTGAAGGAACAAAGTCCCTCTACAGATAAAGGCAGCCTCATGCTACCTGTTATAATACCAAAAGGATAGTTATTGGTTTCCTTCAAGACACAAAGGACACCAGTTAAATGACTCCAACTTCTTATCTTAGAAAGTGAGGAACTGAAATTTTGAAAAAAGGAAATGCAGTTGTCTAAAATATCACAGTCTAGGATTATTAATGAAGTTAATTAAAAGTTAATCCACAAAATTACACTACAGTTTTTTTTTTGGGGGGGGGGGGAGAAAACAAGAAACAGATCAGAAATTCATACAAACTCTCAGAATTGAAAGACATTAAGGCTAAAGGTCATATAATTTTAGGATAACAAACTGAGACAAAATAGCTTTCCATCCTCTAGGACTAAATAATATTCCAGTCTTTAAAAACGCAGATTTTATAAATAAGGTTTACTGGATCAAGGTTCTGTCATCAGGGGGTGTAGACTACATACCTGTGGCATCAACTCTCATCTCCAGGAAGTCTGCCTTGAGAACTGTGGGCAAAAGAAAAAAGATCTTTCAAGATAACTTTATAAATCAGGACTAGGATAAGCAATTCAGAGAGATGGAGAAGTATTCTCTTTTTTTTTTTTTGGTGGGTCGTGGGGCTTGAACTCTGGGCTTGGGTGCTGTCCCTCAGCTCTTCAGCTCAAGGTGAGCACTCTACCGCTTCAGCCACAGCACTGCTTCTGGTTTTCTAGTGGTTTATTGGAGATAAGAGTCTCACGGACTTTCCTGCCTGGGCTGGCTCTGAACCGTGACCCTCAGATCTCAGCCTCCAGAGTAGCTAGGATTACAAGCGTGAGCCACTGGCGCCCAGTTGAGATGGAGAAGTATTCTATGGAAATGCAAAGCATTATTTGAAAGATGTGGTCTGGTTCTGTATCTAAGCTATGGTAAATAATGCTGCAATAAACATAGTTGCGCTGGTAGCTTTAGTGTATTCTTGTTTGTGATCATTTGGGTAACGCCCAAAAGTGGGATTGCTGGGTCATAGGGGAGCTCTATGTGGAGTCTTTTTAGATGAATGGATCAAGAAAATGTGATATACATACACAATGGAATTCTATGCCTCCATCAGAAAGAATGACATTGCCCCATTTGTTAGGAAATGGAAAGACTTAGAAAAAATTATATTAAGTGAAATAAGCCAGGCCCAAAGAAACATAGGTCCCATGGTTTCCCTTATTTGCAATAATTAGTATATGTCTGAGACAAATAGAAAAGGTCAGATAAGTTGATGTTAGGTGAAATGAACCCCAAAATAAGTATTCAAATGTTTTTTTCTTTCATGTGATTGTTTCTAACATATTTATAAAATGATTTCTTTGTTGCTTTGTATGTCCCTCCCCCACGGTATAACCCCTGCTTTCACTTGGTATAATTTGTGGAGGGGAAGGGCAAAAACAAATAGTTTAAATAGGGATACAGGTGGACCCATTGCAACAATGAGATATACAAGTCATTATGTCGAAAAACGAACTTTACAACTTTGGCAGGGGGGGAGGGGAAGATGGGAAGGGATGGGAAGGGGAAACAAAGGAGGAGGCAACAATGCTTGATAAGAAATGTACTCATTATCTTGCCCATGTAATTGTAACCCCTCAGTACGGTATTTTCACAATACTAATAAAAAAAGATGTGGTGTGGGTAATTACTTAAACCTGTAATGCTATTAAGGGGACTGAAATCTGGAGGATCATGATTTGAAGCCAGTTTGTACAGAAAAATCTGAAAGACTCCAAAATAATTGGCAGAAAAAGTCAGGCTAGGGGCATGACTCAAGTAGTAGAGTGCCAGCTGAGCAAGCAAGCAAGCAAGAAACCCTGAGTTTAAACCCTGATACTGGCAAAAAAGAAAAAGGAAAATTGGGTAAGTGATTCTGTCCAGATGTTTTTAAGCCCCTGGCTCTTTGCTTATAATTTGGGCTATTTTTGTGGCAGATTTGGCAAACCAATCTCTTAGACATGAAGCCATCTTTCAGGTGCCAGGGCAATCCCTTGAATGCCAAGCTATTGGAGGCCACGAGATCCCAGAGAACTTGGCCCAAGTCAAAGACTATATTTTCACTATTCTCTAATAGTGAGAAGGATGAGAAGGCACCAGAAGTACTGTGTTTGCAAAAGATGAATCTTCCTTTGCCTTGTTGACCAAACCAGTGTGTGTACCATATTGATGTGCTTAGATCAACCCTAAATTAGTCCTGTGTTGTGACAAGAATAAATCCTCTGGTAGTATGATCAGACTATCTCATACAACACTGGTCCTCTGTCTTCTCTTTTGCTTGAAACTGAAGTGTGAATGTATTTTTTCTCATATATGGAAGCTAGAATTCATTTGTAAGTGTATAAGTAAACACTATTAGGTAGTAAGCAATACAATTGTATTAACTATGCTATATTCTAGAGAGAATTCAGTCTAATTCCTTAGAAAGGCTAACTCAAAGTTCAACAAAATAAACACCTTAAAATCAGTACTCAAAAGGCAGGAGGAGGTATCAAGAGGAGGTAATAGATGAAAGAAGAGAAGAAGGAGAGAGAATTCAGTCATAAAATTCATGTATGGGCTGGGAATGTGGCTTAGTGGTAGAGTGCTTGTCTAGCATGCATGAAGCGCTGGGTTCGATTCCTCAGTACCACATAAACAGAAAAATCTGGAAGTGACACTGGGACTCAAGTGATAGAGTGCTAGCCTTGAGCAAAAGAAGCTCAGGCCTTGAGTTCAAGCCCCAGGACTGGCAAAAAAAATCATGTATATCCTACAAAATTAAGAAAATTAAGAGAAAGGAATGGGATTGGAATACTGAGGGAGAATGATGAAAGGAGTGGCATTGATCAAGATACATCGTGTTCATAAACTATTTTGTCAAATGGCAACTCCTTTGAACAACTACTTAAAGATAATAATAAAACTCTTTTAAAAAGGAAAAAAAAGGAATTGTTGCTCTCTTGAAATTGTTTATGCCTATTAGCTAAGTGATCTTATTCCCTTCTGTGGTTTCAATTACCACCAAATATTGGGGAACATCCCACACAGTAATATTATTCATACTGCAGTATATATCAGTGCTCTCTCTCTGGAGTGACCCTGGCTGTATTCAACAGCTTCACCCTGAAATCTGTGTGGGCCTGACCCCAATTACTGGCCTAAATTGTAATCACGATATTTCTACCGGGATTATCCACTTTTATTCAAAATCACTGAATAAAATAAACACAGAAAAAGCTTGCCTTCTCTATGATTAATTATTGTACCATGTACCTAATTACCAAAGTTTGGGTTTTCTTTTCCTACTGCATTGTGTTGTTCCATGTTTGAAAAGGTTACAGAAAGTTTAAAAAGTCAATATTTTGAACTTCTCTCAGATCTGTTCCTTGGATTTCATTCCCCTGGGCAATGCTACAGACTGAGATTTCCATCAACCCCTGAGAGAATGGATGTCTCCTTCTATGTCTGCTTCCAGTCCTTACTCCCATGTATCTTCATTACTACAACCAGAGTGATCTTCTTTCAGTTCTGAATAGGCATCAATTTGTTTAAATATCTTCCCTAACCTCTCCATGGACTATAAAGAACAAACATCTTAGCTTGTTATACAAAACGTTTGTGATGGGGTCCCAATCCATTTTCCTAGTTTTACCTTCAGCTAAGCTACCCTCTTTACACTCTCCCATTTGAGCCAAAGTAGAATGCTAATCATTTCTGATCCTCTATTGCAATTAACTACTTAGCCTTCTGAAATGTCCTCCCCTCCATTCTCAATGAGATGTCATTCCTGCTGAGTTTTTTAATTGTCAGAGAAGGCAAAGGAAGAAAGAAGAGATGTCCTTCAAATGTCAGGCTACAGTCAAGTATGAAAATGGAACCAAGGGGGACAGAACACTGGTTAAACAGCTCAAGAATTTTATTAGACATGGGAGAAGAGATTGGCAACAATGACCACACATGGAGCTGGCTGAGTGACAAATCAGTATGTGGTGGGTATAAGATAGAATCAAGATAGAAGGGATGCTTTTCCTGTACAGATGCAGAGTGGGAGGAACCTGTGGGTACCCAAGTCATGATATATTAGAAGACACTTGTATCCACTCTGATCTTATTTATACTCTAGCCAAGATGGAATCTGGGGATAAAAAGTGAGCTTAACCTTAGTTCTAGAAGCCTGGATGTCAGACAGATAGAATGGTACTCCAACCTGAAGTGTCTGCTTTGGTCACAACCCCCTTTGACTGTGATTGGTCTGTCTCCTTGGGCAGTGTACAACAAACTTTACCTAGTGGCAGTGTTAAAAAATCTCCACACTCAACACCAGTTTGCCAATGCCAATACCTTCTTTATTGGCAGTCTGTCTGATCTAAAGATTCTATTGCGTTTTGCTCATGCCTTTTATTCTTTAATTTGCTTTTGTGTCAATACTAGGGCTTGAACTCAGGGTCTGAGAGCTGTCGCCTAGCTTTTTCACTCAGGACCAGTGATCTACCACAGGAGCCACAAGTCTGCTTCTTGCATTTTTGTGGTTAATTTTTTATTGAAGTTTCACAAGTTTTCCTGCATTGGCTGGCTTCCAACTGTGATCCTCGGATCTCAATCTGCTGAGTAACTAGGAATACAGGTGTGATCCACTGATACCTCGCTGTTCATGCCTCTTATATATTTTCTTCTGGCATTGATACCCTGTCCAAAGTTACAGATAAATTCTACACAATTTATGTACATTTCTCCCTATCGTTCAAGCCCTAGCTCATATATGACCTCCTCTAAAATGCTTTACCCTCTAGACATGCCCAGCTCATCCTGTTCATTCCACTTTGCTTTCATTCAATTTCCTTGGTTATGCATTTCTCAAGTGGCTTATTCTTGGATGGTAGAAGTACCACTAGGAAGTAGTTTGGCTTGTAGATGGGTACCTTGTTAAGAACATTAGACATGTCCACATGTGATTCCTCTTCTCCCTACTTTTTCATTACTTTTTTAATTCTTAGGGTAAACATTTGGTTAAGTTCATTTTTTTGCAGTTCTAAGGATTGAACTCAGGGTCTCATGCTTGTTAGGTAAATCCATTAAAGTTTTTACATATAAACTTTTTTGGGGGGAGGGGTCCAAAACAGGGTTTGAACTCACATTCTCACACTTGGTCAGTTCGCTTGTTCAGCTGGTGTTCTACCACTTTAGCCATGCTTCAAGCACAGCCTTTTGATAATTATTTGGGAGAGGAAATCTCTAGGACTATTCTGCCTGAGTTGGTTTGGAACCATGATCCTCCAAAAATCAGCCCCTAAGTATAAAGATTATAGGTGTAAGGCACCTAGCAAAACTTTTTGGGCTGGAATGTAGCTCAGTGACACAGCACTTGCCAGCAAGTGCAATATCCTGAGTTCAATCACCAGTATCAAAAAAAGAAAAGACAAACAAAATACACTTACAAAAAAGTTCCTGGGGGCTGGGAATGTGTCTTAGTGGTGGATTGCTTGCCTAGCATGAATGAAGCCCTGGGTTCCATTCCTCAGTACCACATAAACAGAAAAAGCTGCAAGTGGAGCTGTGGCTCACGGGGTAGAGTGCTAGACTCGAACAAAAATAAGTTCATGGACATTCCCAGACCCTGAGTTCAAGCCGCAGAACTGACAAAAACAAAAAAACAAAAAAAAAAAAACTTTTTTGGGGGAGAGGGTAGTGATAAGGATGGAATCTAGGACTCACGCATGCTAGGCAAACACTCTTCCACTGACATGTGGCCTCAGTCCCTCAAATTTTTGTCTTCATGCTATTGGTGAGAGAAAACTGGAACATGACCTCATTTTCATCTGTCTTTTATGATAGAGCAAATAGTAAATGAATGTCTAAGGGGAGTTTGGCTGAACCTAGGGTTTCTTATAGCTCACTCCAAGCTGCACTAAGGTGACCTGCTAAACAGAATCAAGCCTTGGTGAGTCAGATACCAGTATGGGAGGTGGGGATATCAAATCTACCCTAGTTCCACTGCTGACTATTGCACATTGCTCTGCTTTTATCTGGCCACCAAGAAGAGTTTGCTCTTCTTACCTGTTAGAAAGCACAATTTCACTCCCTGATTAGCAATGTGGAACAAACACATAGAAGAAACCCCAAAGGCTAAGCAATCATTTCTCCAGGTGTTCTAGTCTAAAGATTCCCAAGTGCCTAGACCTTAGACAGCCTGTACTAGCATTTAAAAAGTTTGAAATACAAGTGGAAGAAGAATGGGAGAGATGAAAGGAAGAAGAGAGGAAGAGCCCTACTGCTAGAGATTCTGTTTCAGAGTGAGTCTAGAATAGAAGCCAGGAATCTTTATGTGTACTTTTTTTTTTTTTGTCGGTCGTGGGGCTGAACTCTGGGCCTGGGCGCAGTCCCTCAGCTCTTCAGTGCGAGGCTAACACTCTACCACTTGAGCTACAGCGCCACTTCTGATTTTCTGGTGGTTTATTGGAGATAAGAGTTTCACGGACTTTCCTGCCCGGGCTGGCTTTGAACCGTGATCCTCAGATCTCAGCCTCCTGAGTAGCTAGGATTACAGGCGTGAGCCACCTGAGCCCAGCTGGAATCTTTATGTTTTTGTGCAACCTTTCTAGGAGATTTAGATGTACAGCCAGTTTGACAACCATTGCCTAAATCCACTGTTTACCTTTGAAATGGGATCCATGCTTACTCTGAAACTTAATGGTAAAGTATTATATTCTACATGTCCTTGTCAGCTGCCCTTTTAGAATATAATCGGATCTAAATGAGGAAAATTATAACAAGAAAATATAAATGGCCAGGAAGAGTTACATGAGAGACAGAGAAGGAAGAGAATCACAGCCACAGAAAGACAGAGGTGACAAAGTTGACAGAGACAAAGTTAAAGACACAAGCCAAGTGTTGATGGTTCAGTCCTACAATCATAGCTATTCAGGAGGCTGAGGTCTGAGGACTGCAGTTCAAAGCTAGCTCAGAAAGACAATTCTAAGAGACTCACCTCCAATTAACAGGCAAAAGAACTCAGCTTAAGGTATGAGTAGAGTGGGAGAGTGGCATCCATGGGTGAAAAACGCAAGTGTCGTTGAGAGGCCCTAAATTCAAGCCCAGTGCTGGCATATACTTACAAGCACATGCACATGAACAAACACACACACACACACACACACACACACTCACACAGAAAGAGACAGGAGATAAAATGTCAAACACACCCACACAGAGATCAGAGGAAGCTAGAGAGAAAAAAGACAAGAAATGTGTAAGAGCAAAAGGCATATTTATGATAAAGTTATTAAAAATCAGTGACTTGAAACTGGACACTGGTAGCTCACATCTGTAATTCTAGCTACTCAGGACATTGAGATCTTAGCTTCTCTTCTGTTGCCTGTGTCTCTTACCTTCCTGTTTTCCTGGAAGCTGTTTCAAAGAATCTGGTCCTGGAAGCCACCCTGCAAATATAAGCCAAGCAGGTCCCATGAGTTGCTCTGGAATACATGTGAGAACCGAAGGCCAAAATAGAAAGGACACAAGACTTCATCAGATGAACTACCAATGCCAGGTCTTGCATTTGCTGGCAAAAGGAGCTAAGTCTTGAGACAATCTTAAATATCAAAATGTGATCCCATGGAAGTACTCCCAAAGCCATAGATGATACCCTTTGGTCTCTATTGGTCCAGAAAGTTCTAAGTCTGATGTTTAAGTAAAACCAGTCTTTGGCTCAAAGTGTCATTTTTGGATTTTGTAAATACACTTTGCTAATTAGTTGAAGCTGTAGAGTCCTTGTTCTTCTTCTTTCCCTGATGTTATAATTATAGCAAACAAGAGACATTTTATTATATTATGCTCACAAAGTTCATTTTCTCAGCCAGGCACCAGTAGCACACATCTGTAATCCTAGCTACTTAGGAGGCTAAGATCTGGAGAATTAGGGCTCAAAGCTAGCCAAGGTAAGAAAATTCATGAAACTTATCTCTAATTAGCCGGCAAAAAGCCATAAGTATAAGTGTGGCTCAAATGGTACAGTGCTAGCCTTGAGCAAAAAGTTCACCATCAGCACCCAAGCCTTGAGTTCAAGCCTCAGGACATACACACATACACATTCCCCCACACATACACTTGTGTGTGCAAAATAGTGTCATTTTTTCTTACAAGAAAGGAAAAATATCTTGAGCACAAGCACAATGAAAAAATATATTAGATAGTTTTTTAAACCCGTAACAATATAAATAGGGATACAGGTGGACCCATTGCAACAAGGAGATGTACAAGTCATTATGTCGAAAACGAACTTTACAACTTTGGTGGGGGGGGGGGGGGGGGGGGGGAATGGGATGGGAAGGGAAGGGTAAACAAAGGAGGAGGTTACAATGCTTGATAAGAAATGTACTCATTATCTTGCCATGTAATTGTAACCCCTCTGTACAGTATTTTCACAATAATAAAAAAAGAATATTTCCAAAGGCAAGTAGTCTAAAAATAGCAAGTGATTTTGATCACCTTACTGAGATCAGGGCAACTAAGAAAAATGGGTCTCCCCTAGCACAACTTGAAGTAGGTTTAAAGTTTTCATCTTTAAGGAAATTTCTTAGGCATAAAATTTGAGCAGAATACCCCAAACATAATTGGCCTGTAATGTTCCTCTAGACTCTAAAGTGAATGATGCAGTGAATGTGAATGTGTAGTGTACATACTTAAGGGCTGTACATGGCAATCTGTAAAACATCTTTAGGAGCCTAACACAAGTGTTAGATGAAGGTAAAAAGCTGCCTACTTACACAGATGATGGGATATCCCCTGCATTGCCAGCCACAGTATCTGGCTTTGGTTCTGGCTTTTGGGGAGTAGCTGCACGACAGGGAGGGTCTGGGGGTCTTATGGGGGGACGAATGATGGTTGGCTTTTCTCCTGGAGGCCGTACTTTGCTGAAACTCTCTGCCTCTCCTAGGAGAGAAAACAATACAAAGAACTTGAATAATTAACCAAACAACACTACACATGAGCAGGTAATATTACTGAGGTAATCTTGGTCCCTTGGTCCCCATTTCTTCTTGAGCACAGCTTTGTCTCTCTGTTGTAACCCTTCTGGAAACTGTTACTCTAGAAAGCCTATGTTTGAACCTCAGCTCTCTAACTATATGCACCTTGGGTTTTGTCATATGATTTCCTAATTATCAATTTCTTCAGCTAGATAATCAAGAATAACATATATTATTTAACAGAGATAGTGAGAGTGTTATAATAGGTCAAGCACCAGCCTTGAGTGGGAAAAAAAACAAGCAGGAGCACAGGGCTTTGAGTTCAAACCCCAGTACTGGTAGAAAAATGAAACAATAAGAGAAAAGAAAATTCTGTACTAATGTTTTCTATAGTGTCAGATACATAGCAAGTACTTAGTAAATGGTTGATGGTATTCAATGTATATATGTGAAAATGGAGCCAGGTAACTTTGGGGGCTAGGCGAGGTTGGAAGAAATAGAGAATGATGGAAGGAGTACCACTGATCAAGATAATGCATTATATTCATAAATTGATGTGGTAAATTGAAACCCATCTTAACAAGGAGAAGGAGGTGGGGAGGAAAAAGAGGAAGAGGAGGAAGGAGAAGAGAAAGAGGAAGAAGAAGAGGAAGAGGAGGGAGGAGGAGAAAAAGGAGGAGGAGGAGGAGGAGGAGGAGGAGGAGAGAAGAAGAAATTTTAAAAATCCAAGTCCTAGCTATATGCCAGTGGCTCACAGCTATAATCCTAGCTACTCAGGAGGCTGAGATCTGAGAATCAAGGTTCAGAGCCAGCCTAGAATGAGAACCCCATGAAACTCTTTATCTCAAAAAAGCTGAAGTGGAGCTGGGACTCAAGTGGTAGAGTGTCAGCCTTGAGCAAGATAGGAGAGGATAATAAAGGCTCAATAACTATGTACATATAATATTTATCAAAATGAGCTTCAAGAAATGGAAAGAGAATTTTGCTGTTGTTGTTGTTGCTGTTTTTGTTTTCTGTATCATTTGTATTGTTTATAAGTTTATCTTTTGGGTGGATGGTAAGGGCAGGGGGGCACAGAAAGAACAAATACAGCAGTGGTACTCACTAGACATTATGTTGAAAATGAACTATAAAACTTGTGGGTGTGGGCACAAGGGAAAAACTGAGAGGGGGGAGGGAAGGAGAGACATAGTTCAAAAACAAATGTACTCTTCATCTGACTTAACTATAACTCCTTTGTACATTATTTTTACAAATAACTGTGTGTGTGTGTGTGTGTGTGTGTGTGTGTGTGCGTGCACGCGCGCGCACGCGTATATAAAGAAAAAGCTCAGAAAAAGCACTCAGGGCTCTGAGTTCAAGCCCCAGGACCAGCATAAAAAAAATCCAGGTCCTTTTTACTTGGGGCTTGACTATTGTTATAATCTCCTAACTCACCTTCCGACCTCACATCTCTGCAGATTAGCCAGACAAAATAAATAACTTTTTTTTTGTCTTTTTTAACAAAATGGTTCTGGCAGAATTATGGCAAGGCAGGTACACTCACAAATTTCTGGTGGCATTGTGAACTGGGTTTATTCTATCTAGATATTCATCTCAATCATTCCAGAACAATTTGGATGAAATACAAAAATCATTCATATGAAATAGTTATACTTGCTTGCCCAGCAATTCAACTTTGAGGGACAGGCCCAAAGCAATTAACGCAAAAGGGAGGAAAAAAAAAAACAAAACAAGAAAAATCTACTGGTATAAGCATGCATATTAACAGCAAAAAGGCTGATCCAAACACAAAGGCTAAGCAAACAAATTCTTACCAGCATTTAACCAGCATACACACAGACACAGATACAGATACACCCATATGTGTACATGTACACTTTTTTGGTGGTGGCCCTGGGGCCTGAACTCAGGGCCTGGTACTGTCCCTAAACGTTTGTGGTCAAGGCTAGTGCTCTACCACTTGAGCCAGAGTTCTACTTTTGACATTTTGGGTGGTTAGCTGCAGATAAGAGTCTCATGGACTTTCTTGACTAGGCTGGCTTTGAAACTATGTTCCTCAGATCTCAGCCTCCTGAATAGTTAGGATTAAAGGCACGAGCTACCAATGTGGCTTAAACAACACATGTTATACAGAAACAGACATAGTAAAAAGAAAATATTGATAGGAAATAATATTAAACAAAAATTAAGTCCATGAAAAGTGCTCATGGCCTGTGAAAATAATATTGAAAGAAATACATATATAATCAGGCAAGGATGTCAGTGTAGAACTTTATTCAATTTTTTCTACAAAATGTTTAAGATAAACATAAAACCATATTAAATTAAATCAACATACCATTATTACAAGATTCACTTTATGTTTACACTTTTTCCTCTCATTCAAGACTTCCCCAGCAGCTCTAAAATGCAGAAGATAAAGTTCAAACTCCTTATGAATTCAGGGCCTCCATGAACTGGTTCCAAAGTTCTTGTCTCATGAACAAACCCTACTCTATGCTATCAAACTGCTCTCCTGACTGCCCCACCAAAGCAAGCTCTGGACTCTTTTTTTTTTTTTTTTGGGGGGGGTCTGGTCATGGGGCCTGAACTCTGGGCCTGGGCGCTGTCCCTCAGCTCTTCAGCTCAAGGCTACTGTTCTACCCTTGAGCCACAGCATCACCTCTGGCTTTTTTCTTTTTTGCTTATGTGGTGCTAAGGAATCGAACCCAGGGCCTCATGCATGCAAGGCAAGTACTCTACCACTGAGCCCACCTTCCCAGCCCCAAGCCCTGGACTCTTACATTTAGGTGAAACACTGTGCTGCTTTACAAAGTACTGAAAGTCTGAAATTGTGCTTGAGAGGTCTTGTTCTGCTACTTTGAAGCTGTAGGACCTTCAACAGTGCCTTCACCTCTGACCGTCATTTTGGTATATGGGAAACAAATATAACAAACCCCCTCCTCACCTCACAAAGTAGTCAAAAGGTATAAATTGGAAGGTATGTTCACAGTGATTAGCATCCACTGGGGTTAAATAAGCAACAGACCCTGCTACTTGTGTGTCTTCATTGCATGTCTCCTGCATTATAACCATCCCTGAAGGCCCTGCTCAAATCTAGCCCCTCTGAGCACACTAGCAGGCATAAAGAATTTCCATCCTGGTAAATGCTTGTAAGTACTTAAGATATTGTGCTTTGTTTTAACTGATCTACATACAGAATTCTGGTGAAACATATGAAAAAATATAATGAAAATACAGTGTGATTGATGTATCATGAAGGAATAAACAACTATTACATTCACTATTCACTCTCTCCTCATTCAGCCTGTATCTTATGCCCCTTAGCACCAGGTTGGGCATGTAGAATCACATCAGAACTAAATGACCAAAATGGTAATAATACATTTTTCTCCTAACAAACTTACATTATTCAAAGCACTCTCCCAAATGATAGCTATTAAGTAGTCGCAATAAGCTTGCAAGGAAAGAATAGATAGGTCACATCATCCCCATTTTATGCACAAGAAACTAAGGTTCAGAAATGGACCAGTGGATGGGCACTAGTGGCTCATGCCTGTAATCCTAGCTACTCAGTAGGCTAAGATCTAAGGATCACTGTTCAAAGCCAACCCAAGCAGAAAGTCCATGAGACTCTTATCTCCAGTTAACCACCCAAAATGCCAGAAGCAGAGTTGTGGCTCACATGGTAGATTGTTATCCCTGAGCACAAAAGCTTGGGGATAGTACCTTGGCCCTGAGTTCAAGCCTCATTACTGCCTAAAAAAGAAAAGAAAGAAAAGAAAATATGAAAAAAAAGAAACGTGGACCAGCTCACCCACAACCAATATAGACTACAGAGTGACAGTGAAGATTATAGCTTGCCACCTACAACCACTGTTTCCCCCAATGGCTGCTGGATTGTTGTTACTAGTAATCTAAAATTATGAAGGGTAAGGTTAATAATGATAATAGTACCAGAAATATTAATTACCCTTTATAGAATTCTTCCTCTCTTCTAAGTACTATGGTGTTGTATGCATATTTTTCTTATTTAACATTGGCAAGCAGGATGCTGTGGCTTACACTTCTAATCCTACTCAGGAAGCTAAAACCTGACGATCACAGTGCTAAGACAGACCAAGCAGGAAAATCTGTGAGACTCTTATCTCCTACTGACCACTAAAAAGTTGGAAGTGGAGCTGTGGCTCAAGTGGTAGAGTGCTAGCCTTGAGTACAAAAGCTCAGGGATAGTACTCAGGTATTGTCTCAATATGAACACACACATATGTGTATACACATATACACAATCATTGGTGAATGGATAGAGGAAGGGTAGGTGAATATACATATGTGAAAATAGAAGTAGATAACTTGAGAAAACTGGCAGGGTTGGGAGAGTTGGGGACAATGATTGAAGGGGTAATATTGATCAAGATGCAATGTACTCACAAATGGACATGTTGAATGGAAATAACTTTGAACAACCACTTAAGTAAAATAAAATCGATACATTGTACTACAAACTGACATGTTGAGTTAAACCTCTTTGGACAACTACTTAAGGATAATGAAAAATAAATTTTAAAAAATTGGCTACAATTCTAAAGAAATAATTATCCCCTTTGGAACACTAATACACTGTTGGCTGGAGTGTAAACTTGTTCAACCACTCTGGAAAGCAGTATGGAGGTTCCTCAAAAGACTCCACATAGAGCTCCCCCTAGGATCCAACAATCCCACTTCTGGGCATTTACCCAAATGACCACAAACAAGGCCACACTAAAGCTACCAGCACAACTATGTTTATCGCAGCATTATTTACCATAGCTAAGATATGGAACCAACCCAGATGCCTCTCAGTAGATGATGGATTGAGAAAATGTGGTGTGTATACACAATGGAATTCTGTTTCCATCAGAAAGAATGACATTGCCCCATTTGTAAGGAAATGAAAAGCCGTGGAAAAAATTATACTAAGCA